GCTGTTTACCACGAAGCTGGTCTTCCCGAGCAAAGTTTAAGTCCAGGAACTGAGGAAGTGAGTCACCGCTTGGGGTCACAACCAAAATCTGACATCAAAATGGTCTACCCCGAACCACGGTTCAAGAATGTACAAGGCGGAATTCCGAACCCATTTCTGGCCAGGGGCTTGTCCCTTCTCCAACTACCCGTGCCTTTGATTGCTCAGGCTTATTGGAGTTCACCGGCCCAATGAGCTATCTCCAAAAAGCAGTGCAAGCATGGAATGAGTCTCCATGACCCTTTAAAAATGGGGTCATTACCCAAAATAATGGGGTCATGGACCCATTTTTAAAGGGTCATGGAGACTCTAGGTGGAGCCTTTAGTTTTACGGGGTCGCCTTCGTTTTACAGGGCTTTCACCTTGCAGGCTTCAATTCTAAGGGTCGCCTTGGTTTTACGGGGCTTTAGCCCCTATACCACCGAACACGTGTCCTTGAGGCTGGGCTGCCCTCAGACAGATCCCCTGCTAAAAAACACTTTTTGTGGGGTTGATTCGGAAACCAACCACTAAACCAACCAACAAGATCAACAACAACTGAGTTGAACAGATGATTGGCTGGGAGCCACTCAGACGAATGGAAGATTCCTCGCCCCAGTTGTTTTGTCTCATGCCTTTAGAATACATCGCCCCATTTGTTTCCCACCAAACTGGTAACCACGCCAGTGACGAAAGTCCGAAACGGAACTCTGCTTTGACTTTTTTTGTTTTTTTACACGCCCCATTCCTTGGTTGACGTTGGGTTTGGGGAGCAAACATTTATTTTTTTGCAGTTGAGTGGTTGGATTTCAACCACTAAACCACAACAAGCAAAAATGTAAAAACTGTTTCCCAACCACCATGGACAGGGCGGCTTCCCGGCAGAAGACACAGGGTTTCCCACCAAAACCAAGGGGGTTCCCGCGAAGGACAGGGCAACACACAATATATATATATATAAAACAGAGGGAAGCCCGGTTGTTTTTGTCGCTCTCCGGCCTCGGGTGGTCAGCAGCTCTCGCTTCACCGCCGTCACGCTCTCCGCTGGCAGCTGCCAGGGGCTCGACGACGTCAGCGGAGCCCCGTCGCTGGTGGCCAGCTGCAGCTGCCGGAAGTTTTTCAGCTGCTCCCGGCGGGCCACCTCCTGTCTCCTGAGTGGATATGACCCCACCAAAGGATCTGGGTAAATATCTCAACCAACCTGAAATAAGGTCGTAAATTATAATTCACCAGCCTGAAATAAGGTGGTTGGGGGGAAATTCCCCACATAAACCACCATTTGGGTTGAGGTCTCCTGAGTCCATCGCTTCAGAAGATCGCACGATCTTTCATTTAGCTAAGACCCCTGGAAAAAAACAACAGAAACAAATATGTCCAGTAGTGATAGATTCCCTTTAAAACCAACAGAGAAAATAACAACTAGTCTTAAGCAACTAGTCTCCTCAGTGGAAACACGGATAGATCCCAAAGGAGGGGAGGTGTTTCTCTTAAAAACATGCCCAAAATCAAAGGGGGTCCCCCCAAAAAGAAAAACACAAAAGGATGGCTTCGGTATTCCAAAAAAAACACCTCAAGCCTCCTGAGTCGCTTCAGGAAAGCGTCTATGTGGAGTCTGCTTCTGATTACCCAAAGCAAGATTCGGGTCAAATGGGCCCACTTTTGAAGGTTAAGAGGGAGACTCCAGGTAATGTTGACCTCGGATTAACAAACCCCTGTTTATTAATATGGGGGTGTTCCCCTCCAAAAGTGATAAATCCCCACCAAAACCGGGGACACCCCCATATTACTAAACAGGGGTTTGTTAATCCGGGGTCAACATTAACTGTTTGTCCCGAAAGCATTGCGAAGGGTTCTTCCGGTAAAATCGTTGCGTTCTGCATGGCTCAAGTGCATAGGAAGAAGTAGAGAGTGAGTGCACAGCTCAAGTACATAGGACAAATAGTGAGTGAATGCGTGCATAGGGAGAGCGCAGAGTGAGTGCATAGAGGCATGCATAGGGCGAGTGCAGAGTGAGTGCATAGAGGCATGCATAGGGAGAGTGCAGAGTGAGTGCATAGAGGCATGCATAGTGAGTGCATAGAGGCATGCATAGGACGAGTGCAGAGTGAGTGCATAGAGGCATGCTGCAGAGTGAGTGCATAGAGGCATGCATAGGACGAGGGCACTCTAAAAGGATCCGGTAAACATGGGATCACCGTTGGTTGGAAAACCACTCAAAAGATGATATCTCAACCACATGGGCAAAGTTCCCCTTGGTCAGAACTGGGGGCCGAAGGGAATCTTTCCTGCTGATAGGAAAGGGGCCTCCGAAATGGTGCTTGAGTGGGCTCACCAGCAAAAAATCGAGAAACCATTGTTGGCCCAGAGAACAGTCTGCAAAGCCTCAAGCCAGACCCCCCACATAGCCATTTGTCCCTGTCCCCACTTGGGGCCTAAAGCCTCGGATGTGGGGCCTAAAGCCTCGGATTTCCAAGCGCGAAACCGATATGGCCGCTGAGCGTTCCACGGTCAAGTTGCTTTTTGTTGGACAAACGAACAAGCGGGGATACGGAGGGAGCGCGGATATGGGGGGATTCCCTTGGCGCCATTTCCCATAAACTTTGTCAAGCTGCATCAGGGGGATCCTCCCGTATCCCTTTTTCCCCTGTATCCCTGCTAGTTGGTTTCCCTGATTTTGGTCGCTGCTTTCTTTGCAAATCGAGTCTCAAGGCGTCATAGAAGCACACAGAATCTCGGGCTGAAACGTGCTTGTCCCACCACTCTTGAAACTCCTCCGCGCTCATCACCTTAAATGCTCACTGGCCATGGGGAAAAAAGGGCATCCTTTTTGGTTTGGTTGAGTTTACAAATACAACCCTTCCAGAAAAAAGGAGAAAAATGGGCGCCGCTGGGCAAGTGGGTCACGACGCGGCCAGTCAATGCGATAGTAACTGTAGCCATGGCGAGGCCAACGGATAGACCGGGCCACGGTAGATCTGCTGGGGCCGAAATAGCTGGAAGCCACAAGCGCCTTGTCCAACTCAAGATCGAAGCAAAAAACAAGTTCTGTCATAAATATAGGCACAACACCCATCATGTATCTAAAGCAAGTTCTGTTGCGCTTAGTAAGTATCATCAAACAAGATGTATGATTGTGTGTGTGTGAGTGAGTGAGTGCGTGTGTGCGCGCGCGCGTGCGTGCGCTTGTGAGTGCGTGGGTGGGTGGGTGGGCGGGCGGGCGGACGGGTGGGTGGGTGTGTGGGTGGGTGAGTGGGCGTGCGGCTGTTTCTGTCTGTGTGTCTGTGTGTCTGTGTGTGTGCATGTGTGTGCACGGGTGTGTATGCGTGTGTATGCGGGTGTGTGTGTGTGCGCGCGTGTGTGCGCGCATGCGTGCCTGCGTGCGTGCCTATATTATATATATATATATATATATGTGTGTGTGTGTGTGTGTGCTCGCGCGTGGGTGTGTGTGTGTGTGTGTGTGTGTGTGTGTGTGTGTGTGTGTGTGTGTGTGTGTGTGTGTGTGTGTGTGTGTGTGTGTGTGTGTGTGTGTGTGTGTGTGTGTGTGTGTGTGTGTGTGTGTGTGTGTGTGTGTGTGTGTGTGTGTGTGTGTGTGTGTGTGTGTGTGTGTGTGTGTGTGTGTGTTTGTGTGTTTGTGTGTCTGTGTGTCTGTGTGTCTGTGTGTCTGTGTGTCTGTGTGTCTGTGTGTCTGTGTGTCTGTGTGTGTGTCTGTGTGTCTGTGTGTTTGTCTGTGTCTGTGCGTGCGTGCGTGGGTCGGCGGGTGGGTGGGCGGGCGTGGGTGGGCGGGCGGGCGAGCGGGTGGGTGGTTGGGTAGGTGGTTGGGAGTTTTTGTTGTTTTTTGTGTGTCTGTCTGCCTGTGTCTCTGCGTGTGTGTCTATGCGTCTCTGTGTCTCTGTGTCTGTGTGCGTGCGTGTGTGTGTGTGTGTGTGTGTGTGTGTGTGTGTGTCTTCGTGTTTGTGTCATCGGGGGTGCCCCCAAAAAACACATGTTCAGACGATGTTTCACCTCTGTGAGCTTTCAAAACCTGAACTGGCGGACACCCGCCAAGGTTGAAGCCGGAGCATCCGACAGGGAATAGGACCCCAGCCCCCATCCCGAGCCGGAAGTTCCGGAACCTTTTGGGGCCCAGCAAGCCAGACAACTCTAACACACCCAGCAAACCGGGCATTCTACTTGGCTGGAATTAGGACCCCAGCAACAAAATATTGTATTTTGCCCGGTTAGTGGAAAACAAAGGGACCCCAAACAAGCAAAAAAACAACAAGGGGAGCTAACTCTGGGGAAGTCTACAGCACAGCAACTTTGTCTTTGCTGGGCGCTTGGCCCAGCCCCTGTGATTTCTGGTTCGCTGGTATTCATGAAAAAAAAAGGGGGGGGGGGGGGGGCGCTCTCAGTGCAGCACCGGAAGCACCAAAAACTCGAAACCTTCTCAACATATGGGTTGCCTTGCCCATGACGGGTCCCGGGACCCCTCCAATAAAAACACCCCCCGACCCGGACCCTATGGAGAACCAGTTTCGAGGGCCCGAAAAAGCCCTCCATCGAGCCTTAGGGATCCGGATGCATGAATTATACACCGATCGAACACTCCGCAACTGGTCCATGGTGATGGTGGTGTCCATTTCCTTATTTGTGGTGTTGAAAAAGCAAAACATGCAACTCAAATGGTCGCAACATGAGTTTCTGTGAAGGAGCCCTGCTTGGGGTGGGACAGTAACAAGCCCCAAGGACATGGGTCATGTTGACCGTTCCCAGAAAAAATATCAAAGTCAGAAAATGGTTTCGGTTGCTTCCCTTCACCCATCACCTCAGTTGTTCAGTGACCCTGGAAACGAAAGGAAGACCATTTTAGTGGGGCAGCAACACCAAAAAAAGGAAACAGGGAGCCACTGAGCAACTGAGTCACTGAACGCGGGTGACTGTGATCATGGTAAAATCATGAGGCCAGAAGGAGAAAGGAAGCGAACCCACTGCCAAGAGACGCAGGCAGAAGCCAAGTGCCACGGATGCGGTAGGGCGGCGTGAAGCGGTAGTCCTGGCTCACACCTACTAGGGCTTAAATGGGCGTGTCTTGTGTTTTGAGTGCCCTTGTTTGGGGTCATTTAAAGGGAATCCAAAGGAAAACACTAATTTTGGGGGGTCACCCTGCCAGACACATACATAAATCATTAGAATGGGGTTGTGGGGGACAACCAAATTCAGTCAAGATCATTGAGCAAAAACATTTTCCTTTGAACATTACCTCCCACTGGCATGGTTGCTTGCTAGTGGACTCCTTTCCGAACTCTTTCAGGCTTCTTCCGAACATGGCCTGTGCACTCCCGTGGTGAAAGAATGAAGAATGAGGGGATGCCCCCGATAAACCATCCCCTATGGTGTCCTTTAAGCTTCAGGTTCATTCCCAAAACCCGGAAGGTCATTCACTGCTGAGCACCAGCAAGAAAGGGGTCTTTGAGCGATTCCTCTCTTAGGTGTTGCGGAAAACCTAAGTTAAGTGCACCGACATTGCCCGATCGACTGAGCGTGAGTCGGCTTGATGTTTGTGTCACTAAGCAACTTGGCATCTTCAGCTCAACTGCCCCTGACAAGGCAAAATGGGTTTGACCTAATGGGACCCCAAAATGAAATCGGCTTCCATTTGGTTTCCTTTAACTCCCCCCAAAGGGTACACTCAAAAAGATGACTGCGCGCATTCAGCATGGTCTTCCACCCAAACCGAAGAGTCTTTCCCAATCGAAGACACAAATTTATCATTTGCATACTTCTGGAACCTTTTTTTCGAACACATCATGACACATGGAATTGCTGTACAACTTTGGTTTACACGTCTAAATGTTGAACATTCCGATGCGAACGTTCCCATCATGCCCAAAAAAAGCCCACAGAAGGTGAAAACGTGTCTCACGGGGTCGGGCCCTCTGGTTGAAGGCGGGGTGAATGTGTTTTCGCTGCGCACCTGCGGAAATTTAAGTCATCCTCTCCATATCTGGGCTGCCCGAACTGATCCTGCGAAAAGTTTAACTTTTAGTGGGTTTCATTGAAAACCCCAATAAACACTAAAAAGCAACAAAGCTCAGGGGACGGCTGGCAGCCACCAAGACATGCATTGGAGCTCCTGAAGGCTTTTGCTTGTGAGAAAGATTCTTCTTGCCAAAGCTGGAAATGGAACCCCCTGAAAGCTTTGCCTCAAACATGAAATTAGTATCTTGGATGGGTGCGGTTTAGCTGGGATGCTCAAAATGGGGAATCCCGAATCCGGGACAACTGGGAAAAGAAGGGATATCTTCTAACCGGTTGTCAGTTTTTGGCTGTTCAGCATCGGGGATACATTCAGTCAACTCCACTCGCCTGTAGGAACTTTGGTTTTTCGGCGGGCGTCTGAGAACTTGTATCCAAATAGCCGGGGAAAAACTTAAAAACCAGTGGCATCCTCTTGACACGACTCCAAAAAGGGTGCCCTGACAGACCGAGATGTGGCCGTTTGGTGAGTTTTGGGATCCCCAACTTGGATTGGAACTGGATTTGAAGCCCTGGTTCTTGTAGAGGGTAAATGGGAAACCACTCCTAACGAAACCACCAATCCAAACCACCAATTAGAAAGCTTACATAGGTGGCTTTTTGGGGAAATAGATGGGGTTCGCTGATACGTGGTTTGTAAACCAATCTGAACCAGTGCAACCCATCTACTTGAGGAAACTAAATAGCCAATAGGTCTACCAGGGCCCAATTCGAGTGAAGCTGACCATGGTTTCTGTTTTTAGGCTTTTTGGCGGTTTAGTGGTTGGGTTGTTCAAAGCTCAGCAATACTCCCTTCAACCCCGGTCACTTTCCCCTGGTTGAAAAATCATTTTTTCGGTGGTCTCCCCCAATGGTGATCCCATCTAAAGGATCAACCCCCATGTCTTCAAAAAGTTCTCAGTTTGAAGAAAGAACCCTTCTGAGGAAAACTAAAAGGACCCCCTGGTGTCCCACAACAAAGCGGAAGAACCCGCTGAACCACATTACCCGCACTGCGCGCTACGCGCCCTGCGATCGACATTTCTGGCCTTCACGTTCCCATCGTCGGGCTCCCAGAAGACTGACTCCTTCGCGAGTCAAACCCTTAACTCACTTGCCCAAAGGACCCCGAAAAAAAGGTTAACCTTTTGGGGCCATGACTAAACCTAGACCAAACAGGAGAAACCAAAAGGTCAAAAGGTTGGCTTTGGGCAACTGAGTTAAGGAAAGCGCTCGAAAGATCCGAAGTTTGTTTCTATCGATGCGTTATTGAGATAACATCTTAAATATTACATATAGACTCTCCGAGCCTGACCCTTGAAAAGTGGTTGGTCATGACCCGAATCTTTCTTTTGGGTAATGACCAACCACTTTTAGAGGGTCATAGACACTCCAGGCATATATATAGATAGATTGATTATATATATATATATAGTATGCGATATCCCTTTCAACCATCCCGTAAAGAAAACCCTTTTTTACCCCCAAAAGCCATCCGCCAGTGACCCATTGTCTGTGGGCCCATGCTTCAAATTATTGAAATTGCGTGCTCACATCTGCTGCCCCAAGCAAAAGCCTCATAAATTACACTTGGGTGGTTTGGATTGGTTGCTTGGAGGGCGTGCTTTTCAACTTACGCTCAACAAAGAACCAACGGTTCCAATCCCCAAGCCACCACCAATTCAAACCACCAATTTTCACGGTTCCCTGAGATTACTTCAAAAGGGCAAGCCTGCAAACCACGAGGTTTCACAATGTTCACGTGATGAAACAAGCTGGTCCGGGAATCGCTAAGTGCTTGATAACCCTGGGTATAGCCCACAGAACCGGGACCTCCAACACACACTCACACACACACACACACACACACACACACACACACACACACACACACACACACACACACACACACACACACACACACACACACACACACACACACACACACACACACACACACACACACACACACACACACACACACACACACACACACACACACACACACACACACACACACACACACACTTCTTGTTTACAATATTCTCCAAAAACTTGGTTGACGTTGGAAGGGGAGCAAAACAAATGATTTCAACCACTAAACCACAAGCAAAAATGTAAAAAAAATGTTTCCCAACAACAACCATGAAAACGTCTCTAAAGCCCGCGAACTGACTGTGGTAAGCCAAAGCATGTCGAGTGGCTCGGTAGCTGAGTATTTGAAGCGTGGAATAGGTGACCCTCCCCCCTGAAGATACGAAACATCGGAAGAACAGATTGGATGTCCAAGCAACTTCGGTAGGTTATAAGCATGGTTACTTGGGGAACTGGGGTTGGGCCCCTTAGAATTCCCCATGCTTGGAGCCTTATTCCTTCACGTTGGCAAGAGGGGATGATTGAGAGGGCCTCCCGACAGCTTTGGTACCTTCTGAAACAGAGCTGCGCGTCTTTGAGGATCCGGAACATCTACCACTCGGCATGAACTCAGAAACCGCCAACGAGGAGTTATTTCTTTAACCATGTGCCATTTTGAGAAAACAACAACTCTGTTCAAGCTGGCCCCAAAGGCTATTCTGGCGATGTTTCAATCCGCCTTTTGACCGGGAACAAAACCCAACACCTGGAGTCTCCTTCTGACTTATTACAAAATTGTTGCTCATTACCCAAAACTAAAAAAAACAAATGGGGTCATGACCACCCATGTTAGGGTCAGGCTCGGAGACTCCAGGTAGGCGAATTTTAAACTTTTCACCAATCTCCGGCCGCATTTGTCCTCCATGGGCTCAGATCTTTTCGGCGGGTCCGAAGCCTGGGGGCAGATCCAAAACGAAATCTTCCGCAAGTTGGTACCTGGAGCCTCCTGACCCGAAGCAAACATTTGGGGTTGCCACGCGAAAAAATCTTTCAGGTAGCCAATGGTCAATGTTGACTTAAGCCCTTTTGGAACTACAAAAGGGGGAGCCGCCCCATCGCTGCGCTTCCTACGGCTTCTTGCTCAGCCCTTTGGGCGTGAAACTAACCCCGGTGCAATACAGGCATGAACGAGCTTGACCCCATGGCCAAAAAGAAAGACTCGGGTCATGACGCCGCTTTTGAAGGGTCAGAAGGAGAGTCTAGGGAAGGGTGCAGCTTTGGTTTTACCAAACAACCTACCCCTTGGCCCCCGGGCAGCTGGTTAGTCAGGGTGGTCCACAAGGCTTCAAGTTTCTCGTTTCTATAAGAGGGCCGCGGCACAATTGCTACAATTGTTTTGAACAATTGAGTCAGAACATGACATGTCGTCATGTTTTGTAAACATGGAGATGTCATATGGGGAATTCCCGATTTGAATGCCTTAGAATGGATGCCTTCGAAATCGTTGCAGTTCCAACAAAACTACCCGAAAGGGGAGACACACCCGTATTGAAGACCGAAAACGCAAAAACTGATCGCACGTGTCAAACTTCCGTTCGTAGCGCCGTCATCCTCATTCTGGTCTTGGTTGCTTCCTGCTCCCCTGCTGAAAGTTTAAATTTCAGTGGTTTAATGATTAGTTGGCAAAAAGTTCTCAAGTCCTAGCATCCCTTGGCAAAATGCGCCAAAGTCGTGAGGGAATCAAACACGCAGGGCATGTTTCGCACGCTTTTACTCGAAGCCCTGCAATTCAGTTCGCTGGGCGCCGGAGAGCTGGCGAAGAGGTTTTTTCCCGGTCATGACCCCTCCAACGCACACCTCCAATGGAGAACCCCGATTCCTCAGGAGCCCAATGGAAAACAACCAGCTAGGGCCCAAAACAATCCATCGGCCCTTAGGGAAGGTCTCATCTTCCGAACTATGTGGCTAAAGGAAACCAGCCCGGCCTAAAGTACCGCCAAGATGTACTGACTGCTGCATGAACACCTTCATTTGGCTGTGGCTCAAAAAACCGGTACCAAAATGGAACCCCGGTAAGTGGAAACATGGATCAAAACCTGCGTAACCCTAGCTCTTAAATTTTGAGCCACCTTCATTTTGCTCCTTTGCTCGTTGCCTCAGTGGGTAAATGGTAAATGGATAAATTCTCTCAAACCGCCAACCACTGTAAGGAATCCACTGGCTGGTGCTCACTCGGGAATGTGACAATGAACCTAGGGCCCCCTTAAAGGAAACCAGCAGTTGGATAGTTGATACTGTGGGTGGACAAAATCCATTTCGCACCGTTTGAAACATTGCTTATTGACGCAAAGAAGGGTCTCATACCGGAGGTTCCCATATTCATTCATGCTGCCTTCTGTTTCGTATCTCACCTGTGGGTTTGGAAGGCAAAAATTCGAAGCCAGCACACCCCATGTGTTGGTTGAGTTGTAAGCTGCTTTGATGCAGCTTGTTAGCAAAACATGCCAGGGTTTCTGAACGGTGATGCGATTTCTGGATTTCGCCTTACCATCCACAGTAGGGGGCATTCCAATTCTCGCTGTTTTACTTGCCTTGTTGTTTTTGACTTTTGTCGGTGTTTGAACCCTCCCTTGAACCCAGAAGCCCCCTTATTGGAAACCACAAGGAATGGTTGATAAGGGTCATTCCAATTCTCATTCTCCGCTGAGCACGAGGACCAGTTGCGTGTCCTTGTCTGAGGCTGCCACCGTCCAGCGATTTAACCGCTCCTGCCTGGCCTGCTTGGCTCGTGGGACGGGCTCGCAGGCGGAACTTCCCGGTTGAACATCCTCAGGCCCTGTCACCTCACTTCCGAACGAGTGGATGGGCCAAGACAAGGACCCAAACTTGTAAGTTACCACTAAAATGGTCTTCCCAAAAAGTGACTAAAGTCCAGGAACTCAGGAAGTGAGTATCATTCTGACACACGGTTTGTAGCTCCCACCGAAGGCCTTGCGCTCTCCAGTCACTTTTTTGAAGCCCAGACGCTGGACCCCAGGGACTGCCCGACTAGAAAAAAATAACAACCTAGAGTCTCCATGACCCTTTAAAAAATGGGGTCATTACCCAAAATAATGGGGTCATGGACCAATTTTTAAAGGGTCATGGAGACTCCAGGAACACCGGGCGCTTTACGCCTCATGCGGCATCTTGTCGCATTCGCTTTTGCCAAATCCCGTTTCGAGTGTGACTCCGAGAGCTCCCTCCAAGCCGTTGTTCTTGCTGGTGTGAAATCGGCAGGGAATGAGACATGGCATGAACCGGTTTTGGGGCTTTCTGAACAAAAGGAAACCATAGGATGGGTGGTTTGTCTCTGGGGTCAGACTCCATTTCACATTCCCTGCATGGTCATTCCATTTCTCATTCCCTGCATCCCTCGCAAAATACACATTTCTCATTCCCTGCATCTTTCGCAGCGATTGCAAGTTTTGGCGCAAACTAGTCCGCGGTTAGCACAAGACCCCGAACATTCTAGCGGTTGATTCCCCATTCTTTTCAACCATCGTTCTTTCCAAAAACCGGATCTGTTTTTGTGGGTGTCCGGAGGTTTTCCAGAAAGAAGGATCCCTGGAAAGAATGGCAGTTGTTGTCAAAACCAATGGGATACCACTTTGGTTGGTAGGTGAATTCACAACCCATTTTAGAACCTATTTTAGTGGTTGGATTGAATTGGATGTTCACTGGGGGCTAACCGGAACTTTGGGTTTTGACCCATGGCCATTTCCCTGTGTAGCTGCAGCGATGGGGGCCGCCCTATTAAAAATCCCAAAGAAAGCTAGCTGGTGGCCCACGATCGGGTGTTGGCCCCGCCTTTTCTGGGTTCAATTCGGAAAACCCAAATGGGCATGGGTCAAAACCCATGGTACCATTTTGGTTGGTAGGTGAATTCACCACCCATTTTAGAACCTATGTTAGTGGTTGGATTGAATCGGATGTTCACTGGGTGAACGGTTTGGATTTTGAGCCATGGCGGTAGAAAAATATAGAGAGAAGGCCCCCTCAAAACAGTGTGCATGAACATATATATCTATATATATATAATATATATATATATACATTCCTAGACTCTCCTTCTGACCCTTAAAACATGGGCCGGGTCATTGCCTAAAGATTCCAGGGGTCAAATGATTTGGCCCATGTTCTAGGGGTCCGAAGGAGACTCTAGGTATGCATATCTTACCCCTTAAAACTCCCTGCGCCCTGGGGAAGTTCATCTGTTACAGACAAACATATAGCCCATGTTACCAAAAAAGTTACGAAAGGTTTCGTGTTTTTAAGAGGTAAGAAAAGGCTTTCAAGGGATTCCCCGGGTTTCCTCACACCAGATTGGCCGAAAAAATATCAAGTCCAGGAACTCAGGGAGCTTTGGAGCTTTTGAGCCATGGGTGTGAGCTTTTGAGCTTTTGGGCCACGGTGGAAGCTATATCTAGCATCCCGTGCCCCAGGGCCCCCAACCCGAAACCCGAAACCGCCCGAAACCGCGCCTTGGCAAGTGCCTCAGCCTCCGGACGCCTGGGCCTCGGGGAAAAAAAAAAACGCAAGAACGGCCAATCGGTCCTTGAGTAGAAATAAGTTGGCACCGTTTCTCTTTTTTGCTGTACCTAGACTCTCCGTGACCCCTAGAAAAAGGGGTCATGACCACATTATTGGGGGCAATGCCCCCATATTTTAGTAGGGGAACCCTCCCCCAAAAAAGGGGAACGATTGGGCTTGCACATCCTGAGTGGACTGGCCAGGAAAAAGCTCATGTGGCTGTGGTCAAAACCCTGTACCCCTGGTGAACATCGAAATAGGTGGCAACTGGACGGTCATCCACCCAAAATGGAGCCATAGGTTCTGCCCCATGGCCATGCGTTCTTTTATTGACCGCCAAAATGGTCTGCCCAAAAAGGTTCAAGCCCGGGAACGGCAGTTGAAGTAAGGAACTCAAGCCTCTCCCAAAGGACTCAGCTCATGCATATTGGTTGCATCCCAGAGGCCCCGATCGGCTTCGGCTTTCAATGGAAAGACCCGACCCCTCCAAAACGACACCCCCCAAAAAATCGGTGTTTGGGACCCGCTCTCAAAACCTGGCTCATCGGGAGCCTCATGAGAAGGTCTGCGAGGAACTGTCCACTATTTCCCAGAGCCTTGTGCAACTTGTTCTCAGCTTGGCATATTGCAGGGAGATCATCACAAGGGCCGGTGGAACCAAACAAAAGCGTGTTTCTGGCTGGCGCCCAGTAGGGAATCAATGAGTTGCGGGAATGGAACCGGAAGGAACCGGATGCCCTCAAAGGAAACCACCAGTAGGATGGTTCATAGGGGCACCCCATTGGTTAAATATTGCAGCGGATGTAAAAAATACGCAATTCCACTGCGATCGAGGATTGATCGAGGTACAAACGCAACACACTTGGCGCCTGTCAGTCGAGAGGGCCCTTGAATGACCCCGAGAAAAACCTATCCCCCTATGGTTTCCTTTATTCGTGAATGCCCAGAACCGGTTCATTGCTTCAACCAACACCCGGACTCAATCGCAGCAGCAAGTCTGACCAACACTGAGCGCCCGAGAAGAACTTCCCGGGCCCTCCCATCAGCGATGGTCTTCGAGGAGTGTTTCCTGCGCACCTCATAGCGCTTCCAAAGTGAAGATCCGACATAAAAGTTGAAATTTTAGCGAGTAAAATGGAGACCCAATCACTAAGCCGACTAAACAACTAAAAACCTAACCGGACGATTCGCTGGGAACCACCGACCAAATATATTCGTCCGAGCTGTTCCCACCGAGTCCTTTTTGCCAGTTGCCATTGCTGATGAAGTCCAAGAATCGTTTCAACGGTTCATTCCCATGGATTCGTTGCGGGCGAAATGGATGCCATCCATCCACAGTAGCGCATCCTTTTCTTTGGGTCCCTTTGGGCCGTCCTCTTTTCATGGGAATCGGTTGACCCAAGAAAAGAAGAATCCACAGGGTCAAATCCCTCCGTATTTCTGTTGAGCCTGTGGGGAAACGAGATCCTGTGCAGATTCCTTTGAGCACCAAGAGGGGGGCATGAAAAACACAACTAATCATCTTAAGAGTTTGGAAGGTTGTTTGCCCCAGAGACAACCATGGCTTACCTCCATGTGCTTTTTTCGCCCCCTGACAACAAATGAGAACATATCTCCAATAGTGATAGATTCCAACTTTAAAGCCAACAGGGGACAATAGAAAAATGGAAAAATTAAAGTTGCAATCCTATATTACTAATTTACCCACCCAAATGACGGTGACTTTGAAGATTGAGTCTTCGGCTCTCGCCGGACCTCAGCCTTTGCCCCCAAAAGATATCTACCTAGACTCTCCATGACCCTTTAAAAGTGGGGTCATGACCCGAATCTTTTTGGTAATGATCAACCACTTTTCAAGGGTCAGATTCGGAGACTCCAGGGATTCTGAAAGCCAAATGGGACGCTGAAACGGAACTGCCTAGAGTCTCCTTCAGACCCCTAGAAAAAGGTGCCATTTGACAGGTTCATTTTGGGCCAGGAAGCATTTTTTGTTTTCAAAGGTCATGGAGAGGCTCATGACCAACCATGATTTTGGGTCCTGCCCAACCATCTTTATACCTAGAGTCTCCATGACCCTTTAAAAATGGTTGGTCCTTACCCAAAAGAATGATTCGGGTCCTGGACCCATTTTTATTTCGGGCCATGGAGACTGCAGGCAAGGCTCAGATTCGGAGACTTCCGCTGGCAGAACCCCCAGCGCCCCGGCTTCGCTTCGCTCCGCTCGGGCCCGGGCGCCGGCTGCACCTGCCAGCGGTGCAGCTCCCAGGGGGCGATCTCCACCGGCAGCCTGCGCGAAAGCGCGACGGCGCGCGCTCCGGCGAGCTCGCGCGCGAAAGCGCCCAAGGGAGCCGAAGCCGAGGAAGCCGAGTGTAGGCTTTTGCAGAGTTGAGAGGGTAGAAGAAGTTGGTCCCAACTTTTTGCCCAGTTTTGTCTAATGATTTTAGTAGGGGAAGCTTTTCCAAAGTTGGTAGAGAAGGGCACCGGGGACCTATAGGAGTCAGCCCGGTGTGGGGTCCATCGGGGAGACCTGGAGTCTCCGAGTCTGCCCCTGAAGCAATGGGCCGGGTCACCCGAATCTTTCTCTTGGGTCCTGGCCCGGCCCATTTTTGAAGGGTCAGATTCGGAGATGGCATGAGCAAGCATATTGACATGAACCATATTTTGAGGGATTGGTAACAAGGCACATAGATCTGCGATCTGCGGCACCCGGTCGGATTGCTTGGTTGCAAGTGAACCACTGAACCACGCGGTCACAGGACAACTGCATTTTGGTGTTCATGCTGGGTTTGTCTCAAATTGGCGATGCCAAACAGAATCGACCCTTGGATCCCCTTTACTGGATTTCCTTGGGACACCCCCAAAAAGGGTCGATAATTGCGTAGCCCCGATGAATTTCGCTGGATTTGTTTACATCGACAATAGGGCACAAACATAGAGGTTAGTTTTCAAAAGAAAAGCAAAGACATCAAGGAGGCTCCCCAAAGAGACACGTACGGTTCCCAACCAGTTGTCACAAACTTGGTACCCACAAATTATTGGTTTGTCATTTGGCTTCCCTTGAAGCCCAATCTGTCTCAACTAAATCTGGGGTACCTCCCAAACAAAATGCTCGGTTGTCATTGGGATTTCATTTAAACAGACCAAAAAGAGGTTCCCAAACAAAGACCCAGCAGTCTCAATTGGGGGGGGGGAACCCCTGGTACCACCCAAAATGGCTTTCTTTTCAAGGAGGTCCCCCTCCAAAAAAAACAAACAGAGAGCAAGGAACAACAACACAAACAAACAAACAAACAACAGAAAACAAAACAACCTCCCCCCCCCCCCCGGCCAAAAAGGGGAAAAAACACAAACACACAAGCAAACAATCAATCAATCAAACAAACAAACAAACAAACGAACGAACGAACAAACAAACAAACAATCAAACACACGCACACACACAAAAAAACAAAAAACGGCCAAACAAACCAACAAACAAGAACAAACTAAAAAAACAAAAACAACTATAGAGCAAAAACAAATAATAATAATAATGATTTTAATAAACATGCTAACACGTTCAAAAGAAAGAAATAAAGAAGAAAGAGCAAGCAAAAACCCGCCAAGACCGAGTTCGGGGCCCGGAGCTGGAGGCGAGGTGAAGCAGCAAACAGGCCACGGCGATCTGGGCTCCGCAAGGTCGGGTCTGTCATTAAACTCAACCAACCCCCTGCTAAAAGTGACGAACTTCTAGTGGTTTAACACGGAAAACCTATTCGTTGTCAAAAAGTTAAAGTCCTAACATCCAAGCAAAATGCACCAAAGTTTTGGGAACCTAGGCTCTCCGAGCCTGACCCTTTAAAGTGGTTGGTCATGACCCGAACCTTTCTTTTGGGTAATGAGCAACCACTTCCTTTTAGGGTCATGGAGAGTCTAGGTCATCTTTTTCAAAATCATTTTGAGAAAGGCCCTTTTGGCTCCAATCACACCCCCCTGAAAAGGAACCACATCCCGGGAAAGATTAAAATAAACCTGGGCTGCCCGAACTGATCCCCTGCTAAAAGTGACGAACACTTTTGGTGCTAGACACTGAACAGCTAAAAAGCTAAGGGGATGGCTGGGAACCACCAAGTCAAATCAATGGCAGAGCAGACCAGATCAACATATGTTCCGAATTCTACCTTAAATGACTTGTGGATCCTTCATTCCCTCTGAATGGGGTGTTGGGGTTTTGGGCTTTTGGGGTTTGGGGTTTGGGGTGAGGTTCGTGAATGGGCATGTCTCAGAATAGGGAACCCCTTGGATGGCTTCAAAGAAGAAACAAAGGAAACCACCTGAGTCCCCAGTTTAAGCACCCATATAATTTGACTGGGGTTGTGAGTTAACAGAAACGACAACAATTCGGTCATGATTAAAGATGTATACCATTTTGTTTACGAGCTTGGGGTTTCTCTCAAAATAAGAACAGCTGAGCGCTGCAGAGCGGGACATATCCTGAATGGCATAAGGGGAACCAGGCTGAAGGGTGTTTCTCAAAATGGAAAACGAGAACCTCCGAAACCAAAAGGGAACCTTGCCATTCTTGGAGACCAAATCCTTTCAGAAACACACCGCATTTTGGGTAGAACTCCCCCTTACGTTAACGTTTAAAACACAAACTCATGCGGTTGGACCATCCCAGGTGTTTTTGGTTGGCATCTTCCGTGGATGAGGGGGCCATAGACAGTCTTGACCATATATGGAGCTTCACAGCTCCATATTGGTGTGGCTCAAAATGAAAGAGCTAGGGTTTCAGTCTTTGTTTCCACTTAGAAGGGCTCCATTTTGGGAACCAATTTTTGACCCACGTAGCAAAACGCATCCAGCTGGTTCCATAGGGGGAATCAACAAGGGGTTCTGCGGAATGAACCGGCAAGGGATCCCTGAAAGAACGCAAGGGATAGTTCTTGGGATGCTCATAGGGGTCATTCCCTCATTCCCTGCTATCCAGCAACATGCAGGGCCGGTTCCATCCATGTTCTCCTTCTTAGTCTGAAAAAACAACTTACCATCTGATCTCCTTTTTGCGTTCTTTAAGGCTAAAAGGGAGTTCCAGTGATCTAAGCTGCCTCCGTGTGGGTTTATAAAGGTCTGAAGAAATAAGAACATGTGTCGAAGAACTGAGGAATAATGACACCGTGGTTCAATGGACAGGGACCGAGACTCCAGGTATAAATGGGCGCGCTCCCCCAAAATGGCTGGGTTCCCTTTGGTTTCCCTTTGAAACTATCCAAAAAAAGGGTAACCCAATAAAAGACACACTCAACTGGTTCCCACACATCCGCGCGTTACGGGGAACAACCAAACATAGGGGTGCCCTCAAACTCTTCCGCTGCGAGTCCATTGTGGAGGCTCCAGTGGTGATGTCACTCCGCTTTTAGATCACAACTCACAACTGCTTGCTGTCAGGCGCCGACACCTTCTTCCTGGGCACGCGCCCAGCGTACCAGGAACTTTGCGGACACGGTCTTCGACTCTAAGAGGAAGCGGCTGATGGATGAGTGGCAGCACCGGCGCGATGGAAGTCGGTTTCGCCGATTTCCAGTGGCCACGGTTGGCTCGAGCACAAGGGTTGGGACGAGACTGGAGGACTCTTACACGGCCCTGTCTGAGGCAGAGTTTCGCCGCATGTATCCAGGAGAGAACTTCCGAACTGTTCCAGGCTTGCCTACATGTAGGGTTCTGGACGTGAATGGCAAGGAGACGGAGGTTTTGCTGCAGCCAGACTCGTCTTGCCCCAGACTAATGATGTGAAGCGAGTCCACAGCACAGATCTCAGAGCACCACGCGCGTCCTCGAAAAGGAAGGGAATTCTGGCGTGATCTACTGGAGGAAACGCTCAAAAAGCGCCCGCGTTGCACAGGGATCACCTCAGAGAAGCTGGACAATATCATGAAGAACCGAGGGCATCGAGCACAGGGAGCGGAGCCCACCGCAAAGCCCAGCGATGATGTCTTTGGTGAGGACGCGGCTTATGACTTTGCATGTTAGAAGAAAACAACACGCATACCCAAACTCCCAAACCACCCCTGTCAGTCGGGAACTTGACGCTCCGCCCGCAAGCCTTCATGGCCTGGGACGACTGGGCCAGACTGGGGGCACGTTCTCAGAGGCTCCAAGGTCTATCACCGAGCCTGCTCGTCCGGCTGAGCCCGCAGCTGATCTTCAGTCCACAGCTGATTTTCTCCAAGCGGCAGAGAGCAAAGCGGGTGAGGTCAAAAAGCCAGGATGGGCCCGCAAGCTGCGGCACCATCGACAACCTTGCTTGGACAGTGCGAGAATGTGAAGACGGCGCTCTATCACAGAAGGCACGGACTTGGCTCGGCTGAAAGAGTCGGACCTTCAGGACAATTTGTCCGTTCTTCTGGCCTCTCCAATGCTTCCGCAGCTGCCCTCCATTACCTGCCTTGGTCTGGTTCGCCGCCGAGCCTTGCTGGAGCTGCAGGACGTGGAGTCCCTGTTTAAGGTGGCATACCCGTTCGCGGTTCGGGGAGTGGTGGGCACAGAGTTCGACACCTTCCGGCCTACGCTGTCTACCTTGACCAACAGCTCGCTGGATGAGAAAGCGGAGCACGCCAGCAACCTACTTGTCAAGGACGCCCTGGCCCACTTCATGGCCACGAAGGATCAAGCCTCCATCATCAAGCTCTACAACCTCTTGTCCCAGGAGATGACGCACGGTGACGCGACTCAATCGCTGGGCCCAGCAGCCTTGGAGGGGTGGCGCAGCGCCATCGCCGCCGTGGAAGTTGTTCAAGAAGGACCAGCTTCCCCCCAGCAGTCTCAGGCCCTGCTCACTCTGAACCCAAAGGATGGCAAGAACATGTTTGTTGATGCTCTGCGCCACCCGTTCGTGGACAAGTTCTGGGCGCCCAAAATGCGCGACGTCTGGAAGTACATGGCTGCGGAGTCCATGTCATTTACCACCTTGCAGCGCCTGGAGACGACCCTACGGAATCAGAGCGCCAGCCAAGACGAGATTGACGAGACTTGGCGCCTGTGCACGGCTCTTAGTGTCGTCGAGCATCGCATCGCATCGTATCGTACCGCGTCGCATCGCAGCTTAAGCGGGGCTGTCAGCCCTGGCCCTACCGCCTTGCTGCAGCTACAAGAAGCTCTCACATCTTCCTTGCGAATCTGCTCTTCGCGCCAAGTACAAGTCGTGGTTTTCCATCAACAGGCTACAGTGTTTTGAGCCGCGCCTTCTGATCTCAGGAATGACCCAAGCAACAGCGCTCATAGGCGCGGCCCAGGCGACATCAGATATCGCATATAGCGCCTGGGGAAGCTTCTGTGATGCTCACATCTAAGTCTCGTCGAACTGCACGCCGGTTGCTGCACTCCTGGCTCAAGACTAGTAGACACGTTTGCCCTCACTCACCAACCCTGCAAAACACCAGCGAGCCCGAAACATCTGCTTATTTACAGCTTTCACACAGCCGTTTCCAAAAGCGAAGGGGGTCTGCCAGCGACAGGATCTCTCCACAGACGGCTGCAGCTGATCGTCAGCCTGCTCAAGCAGATGCTGGGCAGCCGGCGCAGCGTCTTGATGAGGCAGCCTTTGCCGGCAGGTTCGTCATGTTGACGGACGGCGTGCCACTAGTCAGATCAAACCGAGCTGGTCAAGAGCCAACTGTTTGAGATTGAACTTTAGGGCTTGGCACGCGCAGTGGCCCCAGCCCCAATCCCGGCGATTTAGGTTGGGAACGGGCACCTTCGGCAAGGTCTACAAGGCCTTCGACCGCCAGGCCAACTCTCTGGTGGCGTGCAAGGAGATAGACAAAGCGGCGCTCCAGGCCGAGATAGCCGGGGGGGGGGAGCGACGCTAGTCTGGCAGATGCCCAAGTCTGAAAGAACATGACCAAGCCTTGTCGCTTTCAGGGAAGATTCGAGCGTGTGACTTGCCACGAATCAGACAGTTCGCAAACTTGTCAGGACGATGGTGAGATGCAATTTCTGGCCTGGAGCGCAGAGCGGCCGCACGAGAAGGTGCTCTCTGGCATCTGCTGTTGCACAAACCGAGTTGTATTGCCGCTGGCAGACGAGAGCACCTTGCATGGTGAGCAAGTTTTTGAGAATGGGCGCCCTGCGTAGCAAAGCGTTGTATGTTTTTTTCTCTCGAGCTTCGCACTAAGTCTGCGTAGTCAGAGGCAGAGACACGCCCTGCCTTGGACCATTCTACTTGCGCTTCAATCTTTAACGATAGGGTCAAAAAGAAAGGCACCTACGCACGTGCCACAAGTTGTGATTTCCGATTTGGAGCTGGCAAACGTGAGATTTTCGGGCTGGAGCAACGGAAGTGTACTTCACGGGTGACGGCCGCAGAAGCGTGCCTCGCGTCCGAGTCTTTTATTGCAAAGTCGCGGTTTTCGAGTTGGAGCTCCTTCAGGGTTTGTACTTCGCTGCGATTTCCAAGCTGGAGCTGCGGGGAAGGGCGCTGCGCGTGTGACACCGGTGTCGCAAAGTTGCGAGCTTCGAGCTGGAGCAGCGGAAGTGGGCCTCGCGTGCTACTCCTGCTCTGGAAAGGTCCGTCGTTCGAGCTTGGCTGCGGAAGTGTCATGCGCTTCTCTTGCTACAAAGTTGCGAAAGTTGCCAGTTTCGAGCTGGAGCTGCAGCAGAAGGTCACATGGCGCATTACGCTTTTAG